CATTATTAGATACACTTGGTAGTAAAAAAAAAAAAAACCCTATCATCCACAAAATGCACTGCTGAGCACCAGCAGACTTACCACTAGCAAGGCAAGAAAGAGGGGACTCGACCTCAGAGGACATCCTCAAAGGCTTATGCAGAATATACCCAGTAACTAAACTCCTCTCCTCAGATTACTTCATTTGAAGTATTTACAGAAGACTTTGCTGCTAAGTGTTAGCACTTTGTCCTACCCATCCTCCCCAAAGTCTCCAGCAGAAAAGCTGCTTGGCAAGAGGCTTGGAAATCATTGTTCAAAGCCACAAAACATCTGAAGTGACAAGGTCAAGCATTACCAGTTGGGCTGTTACACCTGTTTGTACCAACACATGTACATCAGCCCCAAGGAGACACTCTGTGAGAGCCTGGCAAAAGATCTTGGTTAAAAACACACCTCAACCAACTCCAAAGGCAGGTAAGCAAACAAAGGCCGGTTCCTGTACCAACCCTCCCACCCTGATGATCAAGGGGACTGATAAGAACAACAAAGAGGGAGACCAAGGGGGAGAAGGGGAGTTGCTGACAGGAACAAGCTCTGCAGAGGGTATTGTCCTGTCTCCAAACTCCAGTCTCCACCCTGATGACCACTGATGGTGAGGGCCTGAAGGAGATGATTGTGCATCTAACAAATGACAGAAGAGAACTTCTGTGGGGTCTGTCAGTCACCAGAGACCCCCAAGCCTATTGCCAGGACCTTGTGGACTTGGCCCATTCCCAGAACCCTCTGGAAGGACTGACTGGGCCTGCAGGCATCTGCTGATCACCTCCAGCCACTGGGAAAGCCCTTGAGAACTGGAGCAAACAAAAGGCAACAGCCTTGGCCCTCAGTGGGACACCCCCACTATCCCGGATCCAAGAGCAGAAGAAAAGCCAACAACTCCATGGCCAGACAAGAAGAATCTTCATTGCTCATCACTGGAACCCAGGGTGGTGAGACTTTCTTCTTTCTCTTTTCTAGTTTTCCCCTTTTCTGTTCTTCCACCTTCCTTCACTCACTTAAATGTCACAATACACACAGCCTTGTTCCTTGTTCAATAAATTTCTTCCACATATCTGACTGTTTGGTGTGGATGCACCTTCATTTGCCTCTCAGGAATCCAGAACCTGAGGCAAACCTGGCTTGAACCCAGGGTTCCCAAACTGTCCCTGACACACTCCTAAGCAAATAGATTTGGAAACTGCAGGCAGCACTGAGGAAAAGTATTTCAAGTTTCATGAATGGCTGCTCTCCCTAGACACAGTACATTTCAAGCCAAGTTAAATCTGTCAGCCAAGATAGCGCATTGCAAAGCCACACACTGGGCTCAAGGGGTTAAACTCTCAACTTTCCAAATACCTGCAGAATTAATTAACTGCTCCAGATGTCCACAGCCCTTGTGCCAGCAGCTTTCAGGAAGCCATCACAAGCTAGAAGCTCTACAAGGCACTTTTAACTTCTAAAGGTTGCTGAAGAATACAACGAGGGAAGGAGACTAGTTTAAGGCTCTGCAAGCACCTTTCCCCCTCATATCCCAACTCATTTATCTTGATTTCTCAATAAAAACAAGGTGAGAGACCATCCTGGGCTTTGCACAGGTAGTCTTCCAATTGCTGGACAGTCTATACAAGTACTTATAAGCCTGCAAATTTTATTGCAATCAAAGCCCTTAACTATCACAGAAATTAAAGGGAACACAGTGAAGTTGTGTTCACACAAAAGTTGCTCTGGAGTGAGAATGCCTCAAAGTTGAACACAGGCATGAGACTCCTTTAACTTGCATCCAAAAGCAGTTAAAAAGTTTACATCTTGCATAAATTCTTGCTAGATAGAGCTGAACACTCCTCTCCCATGATTTGGCAGATGGGGGGAAAATAAAGCCTTGAGTTTAAACTATCCAAATTCAGCAACGTGAAATTTAACCTGCAACTCCACTGAGGTAATTGCTTATCAAGAGGTCACTGTCTTACAGTCCACCACTCTGTCCAAAAAAATTGCACCATACATCCTTCATAGGCAAATATTTACATAGAAAAATTAAGCTATTGTTGAAGCAATTTAACAATAGATCTTTCCTAAAAAAATCTGGTAATGCATATCTAGCTTTTTTGAGATTCTACACTCAGTGTAATTTAAGTAGCATTTGAAACATTCCAACAGGAATCACATTGCACAAAAGAAGCAAATTGCTTCTCATGTTTTTGCACACCTGCTCAGAGCCAGCACGTTTAGTGCATAGAGTTTACAATGCCAAGCCACTACAAAGGTACCTCATAAATGCTACAGAACAAAGTTCTTTGGAATGAGAGCAAGCATCGTAGTCTCTAGGCTGTAATGACTTCAGGCTTCTTGCAGCTTCACTTGCTTGGTCAGTGAAAGCCAGAGAAGTGCCATCCACTTTTCCTGGTGTGGAGTTGGTATTCGACTCGCTCCGGTAGACTAAATCCCATTGCAGGTTCAGACAAGCAGACCGGTGACAAGTCAGTTGCGGGTCACTCGAGGCCCTTCTGGAAGGAGGGATGCAAAGAAAGTCTTGAAAAAAACCCATGCTGTGCTCAGAAATGAGGGGCCAGCCTGCTGCAGTTCTTGTAAAACCTGTCCCTCATCAGGAGATGCCTCAGATTCCTCTGCTCTGCCTGCATTTCCCCCCTGCCAAAATAAAGGATATTTGGTAAATGAGATCATTGCAGAAATGAGAAGAATCAGGGGTCAAACAGCATGTCTGTTACTCAAATGTCACTGTCAGAATGTCAAAAGTACTGCAAATATCCCCAAACAACCACAAAGGCAAAAATCCCAAGCTGCACACTAGTATTACTGGTTAACTCCTGCTGTGTGTCCAAGAACACACAGGACAGACACGATGCACCAGGCCAGGGGAACTATGTATGCATTTACAACTGACTTTCACTGACATCAACCAGAAATGGCAGCTTGAAATGCAAAACTGATGCACGCTTTCAGCTTCAGAAATGCTGACTGATGTCAGCTTATCTAGTCAAATCCTACCCTGCTAATCTAAAACCTGTCTTCAGTTACTCAGAACCTGCTCAGCCTGTGACAGACCACCCTCTCCATTACAAAATCCTAAAGGACAGAAGCAACTAATCATTCAGCCTGAAATATTTTGTAGAACAGAGGAATCAGCTATACCAAAGGTTTGCAATTATTCCACCATGCAAGGTAATTTCTGACTGAAGTTTAGAGAAAAGTTTTTGCTACTACATTAGTAAACTGAAAGTAAAACTTCACAGGGTTTCATGTTCATGGTTTAAAAAACCACTAAGACAGCACCTGTAAGTTATTGTTCTGGTCCTGGTTTACAGCAGCTGGAGGAGGAACATTGCCTGGGAGGGGCTGAACTGGTCGTCGTCTAAATGGAAGCCATCCAACATGGTGCCTGGGGAAGCCAACACATTTTTCAATTAATACTGGTTAAACATTACTCCTCCCCTTTACACCACCACAGTTCAAGTAACATCTGTCCTCTCAGAGCTGCCAACAGCAAGTTCAGCACATTAAGGTCTTTCTGCCCTCACACAGTAGGTACTTTCAAAGCCTCCTGTTAGCAGCAATCCATGAGGTAGGAGGGGAAGAGCATCGGCTTGCCTTCAAAATAAGCAGCACTACACCCAGGTTTGTATCTACCTGATCAGGGCTCAGCCTGCCAGAACATGCTGCCAGAGGTACAAAGCTTGTTTGTTTTTATGTACACCCCTGGGTAACCCTCTGTACTCACCCTAAAAAAGGGCACAAAGACAATGCAAAACACAGCACTATCTCACCAAAACATAACAGGCCACACAGACTTTCTTAGCAGGTCTGTATCTCTACAGCACCTGCACCTTGTCACCCACAATAGAAGCTGTTCAAAGTTACACTTTAGAATTCTCAATAGGAAAATTTAAGGACCTCTTATGAAGCAATTAACCTTCCCTCTCCAAGTTTGCATAGAGGCTGGAAGAGCTGATCATTTGAGCTGCTCCAGTTTCAACTCCTGGGCCTACCAAAAGGAATTCAGAGGCCTTTGTCACTTGTTTCACTGGTGATTAGAGAATCTGAGGGGACAGATTATCTTTCTCAGACAAGACATCCCAAGCACATCAGATAAGGGCCCATTATCTTTATTGTGCTTCTAAGATTTATCCCAAGTTTTTCCCCCCTGGAGAGGCTCAAAGGCAACTCAGGACACTGCATTCAGTTTAGCTTTGTCTGGTCTCAAGAGAACACACAGCAGAAAAACCCACATGGACACAGACTTAGATAGCAGGTGAGACCCTTCTCCCAGACTTCCAGCACTTGTTTCCCCTACAAGCAACTTGTCATTTACTATGTTGAATCTACACGTCTGTCTGCTCTACACTGCCCAGCTGCTGAGGCTTTCCACCAAGAGCTACTTAGGTTTCAAAAGCAGTTTCCTAAGAAGAAAGCCAGCTGCACCAGAAGCATTAGTACAAACCCACTATCCCCCATTCTTCAGTTAACCCAGGCATAGGCTATACTTATATTTTTGCTAAATACTGATTTATACCAGGATAGACGAACGGTTCACTCCTTCCAGGAACAAGAATCATATGAAGCTCAACTGCCAGAAAGCTGACCACAGAACTTCAGTGAAACATCTCTGAATACAATGGTACCATTAACACCATCCACTTACAGATACATCAGCACAGTGCCACCCATAACCAGGAGGAATCTGCTGACACTGGAGTAGAAATAGATAACGTTGACAAAAACGTAGAACAGTGTTGCTGAGTAGAGCCAGTCCAACCAATCTCGATTGCCACCCTCCTCCTCTTCCTCCATGAGGGGACCTCCTTGAGCATTCATCCGCAAGTTGGGGTTGGCCACTGCGTTAACCTGGGCAGCAGCATTCTGGTTTCCAGGCCGATTTTCTGCAGGAAATGGGTCTGGTAGGGGAGCCGGGGGTGTCACTGGTGCTACTGGTATCTCCTGAGAACGTCGTGCATGGGACAGGTCAGCAGATGCAGCAGTAGAAGCCAAGCTGAAACCAGGAAACAAAGTACAGAATAAAGTTTAGTAAAATCCTTTCACACCTAACACAGGTACTGAAAATTTGTTCATCTTTAAGTACAGAGTCAGATCACATGCAAGTAGAAAGCACCAAGTTTAGAGGCTACAGAAGGATTTCAGAAGTTTTAGTTTTACCCACAACAACGGCTGCACAGCAACTTCAGGAAGTCAAACCAGGTACCTTCCACTTTATGAACAATAATTTAAAGACTTCACAAAAAGTCTTTAGAACAATCTGAAGGTAGTGTGGAAGGCTGCTACAAGGCTCAGCTTTACCTTTGTCACTAATTTCCAGTCAGTGCTCTGTGTGCTACTTGAAGCAGTCAAAAAGAAAAGGGGAAGTGCTAAGGCTCATCAGCAGGATTATATTTACCCTGCAGACATCTGCCCTCCCAATCAAGAGTCTGAGATCTGCCATTTACAAGATTCAAAACCACTGGTCTAGACAATAAGCCAAGCACCACATGACAGTCAGAGGTACCTTCCCACACCATTCCGTGTAAGTTACAACAAAAAAAATCTTCCAATCACACTACACCGAAAGAGGAAGAGCTGCCAGAAGCTTTATTTCCTTGTATTACAGTTTCTACTTTCTACTGGTAGCTTTGGACAGAAAACTTACTATTGCATGTAATATTGTCTTGCATAAATCTGCTGAAGCCAGGCCATGTGAAGCACGCTGTAGGTTGTGTAAGCAGAGAAGCCAGGAGCCACGCTTCGGAAGGGATGCCGAGTTGTTTCAAGCCTTGGTCAAAATGTAAACACATTTGTTAGCAAATACTGTACAAACTGCAAGAGTCATTTATTACAGGACAATGTAAACAGCTTCTGCCATTTTCTGCATCCAAATGCAAAATTAGCTCTTCCTCCTGAAGTTCTAAAGACACCTCTTTACCCACAGGAATCAAAGGAAGATTTTTCAACTAGGAGCAGTGCATTTTCCTTTAGCTTCTTCCACTAAAGCTTTTATCTATCTCATCATCTTTGGGTGGGTTCTACAGACTTGAGACAATATGTGTGCCATAAGGGGCTTGCATACAACACAGAGCTGACACTTTAAAAATCTTAGTGATGGATGTAAGAATTTTATTCACCTGTTACTGGCTTCTGCTGGAGATTGGCCACTAGAAGAGCATCTCACTCTGTCACCATTTGAGGAAGACACAGATGGTTCTTGACTAGCTTCTGACAATGACTTTGGCTGATCAGCTTTAACCTAGGGACAGCAGTGCAGTTAGTAAGGTTTATTCAAGACATCACACAAGCCTTATGGAAGGTTCCACCATGCTGAATATGCTTTTATTTTATAACTGTGATGCAGTTCACACACTTCGGCCTGCACAGTATCTCTAGCTGCTGCTGCAGTGATGACACTGCTCTTGGGCACCATGCCACAAGCATCTCCATCTGTATTTTAAAGCTCCTTTGAAAGTGACTGGTATGTAAAACTCATTTGATGTTAACTCTTCACTTTCACCAGATCTCCACCTGTATTTATTCCTTTTTACACATGCAGACAGGTCCCATCTGGTTATAAACATGTCATTGGAAGAAACAGAGAACTGCACTCGAGATAGTTTGGCTTTTCAGCTGTGCTGAGTTTGTACTCGCATACACAAACTGCTGCACACAGAATCCAAGAGCAGTTTTGTGGTGATACATCTGTACAATATCCAGACCAAAGCTGGCTTACATCTAGCCAACACCAGACACAGGCAGAATAGGTTCAAACTGGATGATATAAACACACCTCTAGGTACATTAGCACATCCACTTGAAAGCAAAAATTGGTTTTGGTCATTTGCACAGAAGACAAGTACTTGGTTCAAGCACTATTGCTCATCTTTGGCTTCCTCTCTACAGGCTGAGTCATTAATGAGAGCAGTGTAAGTGTCTTCAGCCAACAGCCTGCTTCCTTCCCCATACCCTCCTATACAGATCAGAACCACTTCCACTTTAACCACTACCTCTGCTGCCCACAAGCACAGCCTCTGTCCAGAACAGCCTGGGACACAGGTCATTCCATTTAACAGAACTGAAGGAATTTCTCCTGAACAGTGTGTTACAACTACATTATATTTTTGATATTTTTTTAACAGATGCCACAAGAATTTTTACTGATGAACCTCAGAGTCAATTTTTTTTTTTTTACTCAGCTCAATCCAAGGACATTCTCACATTCCAAACCAAATTATCACAGAGCAACACTGCCACTGCACTAGCAGGAAAAAACTGCAGTATCAGTGAACTTTAGAGCTATTCAATACTTCCCCTTTTTAGTCACAACCCCAAGATTCAGAGTAGTATGTTAACTTTGTCTGCGTACCTCTGCATTAGTTTCTTGCAGATCTGCAGTCGTCTTGAACTTGTAAACCAAATGAAGAGCATGCACCTCCCCATGCTGAAACACAAGAAAAGACATGTTAAAAACCCCACTTCTCTTGGTATATTTCAGCACATCATAAAAGACTTTCTTGTACCTTTGGCAGCAACTCTCTCAGATAATGATGATCAAGGAGCAGCTTCCCAGAATAAATCAGCTTTTGGTCCTCTTCAGGCTGAAGGAAGAAAACAAAGAATAGGATGACTTGCTCTGCCAAGCACACACGAGCATCAACTGACACAACTTGCAGCCAGATGGACTGAGACAGGCAGCTCGAAGCACCCTGCACATGAAAGTGCACAGGGAGTTACCCACATTTAAATTCAGCAAATGAGATGAGAACAATTGGATACTGAATGCAAAGTTACCAACACTGAGGTCTAAATCAGCAGGAGGATAGAAAGCTTCCCTTTGGCAAAGAACTTTGTTACATGGAGCCTCTTTTAGTTTCTAAGAAACATTTGTGTCTTTTAAGAGTTCTAGAGGGCCAGCTAATCTGATCACCACAGGAGGCAGCATCAAATCAATCTGTCACGCCCCATCAGATCACATCATATCAGGCTGGTGGGGTTGGAAGGGACCTCAGGGGATCATCCAGTCCAACCCCTCTGACAAAGCAGGTTCCCTACCCCAGGTTGCACAGGAAAGTGTCCAGGTGGGTTTGAACATCTCCAGAGATGGAGACTCCACACCCTCTCTGGGCAGCCTGTCCCGGGGCTCCAACACCCTCACAGGAAAGAAGTTTCTCCTCGTGTTTCACTGGAGCCTCCTGTGTTCCAGTTTGTGCCTGTTGCCCCTTGTCCTATCACTGGCCACCAATGAGAAGAGTCTGGCCTCATCCTCTTGACACCCGCCCTTTAGACATTGGTAAACATTGATCAGGTCCCCTCTCTGCTGTTCATCCGCAGCTTCAGCAGCCCAGCAGACTCAAAGCACGCTGCTCTCGTTTCTCCCAGGGAAAGCACGGCAAGCAGAGCGGATCTGCT